CATTTTCATTTGGTGTTTTTGCTCATTGTCTGTGAACTCTAGCACCTTGTAAAACAAATCATTATTCCTGCCCCAGACCTGCAAATTGAAAATGCCCCAACTTTTTAATTCATACATTTCTTTAAACATTAAGCAACGGAGTCTCCAGAAATTGAATACAAAAGGTTGCTAATGTATCACACCCTGAATTACTCTCTCTCTCTCCTTGAAACTGCAGCTTTAACCTTTACAGGACAGAATTTCCTTATTTTCCATCTTGCTAAAACAGGGAACATATGAAGTGTAGAAAGAAAATATAACTCTAGCATTAGAAAGGAGATGTAGTAAGAATGCTGGACCCCAAACTTTGTTTTACTACACTTAGGTAAATCATTTCAGTTGGGTTTGATTTTAGGAGGGGTGAGGGTGGGTTGGGGTTTGTTTGCTTGTTTGTCAGGGTTTTTGTTAGTTTTTGGTGTATTTTGTTTTGTGGGGTTTTTTTTTGTTTTAATTTATTCTGAATAGTTACTTGTTAAGGACCAACTGAAATGTCCAACTTCATTCAATTATTTCTATAATGCAAAGAATTGACATGCTACAATATCTGGAGCTTTGGTTTGATTTCCAAAAACAGTGATTTAAGAATGGCAGGTCACAATGGAAATATTTTACCTTTTAAAAAAACACAATTGCATAGAAGACTTTTGTATACATTTATGTTTATCCTTAGTTACCCAGTTTTCCAAGTGTTTTGGTATTATCAATAATTCTCCTTCTCCAGAGAAGCACAGAGGGCAGTTGAATTTCTTTGGAGCAGCATACCTTATTTTTCATCCTCCTACTGTGGAGTTACTTGAACAAGAACCAAATTCAGTGAAGTCCTGCAATGGGTTGTCACAGCTGCCTAGCTGGTTTACTCAATTGCACATGATGGCAAAGGGCTCTTCTGAAATGTTCATGATGGCTGAAAGAGCAAGAACTATATTTTATTTTCATTATTTTTAGTTATCTTCCTATTCTGGGCTATTCAAGACTTCTTGCAACCAAAATTTTCAGCCTTCTCAATTGAGGTTCCTCTGTGAATATGTGTCAATTTGAGGAAATGTGGCATAATCCTAGAAAACACTGAGCAGTCACTTCATCTGAACAGTTTTCACAAGGTTTCTTTGGAATTCTTGAAGCCTAAATACTCTTTATAAAAAGAGCTTTTTGACATCAGTTGCCAGTGTTTTAGGAGTTGATTCTAAGCATCCCATTGTGGAAACTGGGAGCTTTCAATGATGCAGGCAAAAGTCAAATATTTGCTATCAACATAATCTGTCATTGATCAATGACAGGTATCATATATATGTATATGCAGTTAGGAGGTGAAAGAATTCTGTACTTCTGGGATTGTTTTGTTTTCTTGATCAGCCAATGGTTTTAAAGAGTTGTGTGGTTCTGTTTTGCCTCCTTCATACACCAGATATGTTGGTGGCAGAGGGGCAGTCAGTATGTTACATGTGCTGGAGATGGAGCCTGCAGCTGGTGGGGATTCCAGCAGGTTCTGTGTGTGTGTGTGTGTGTGGGGTCAGTGCAGAGCCAAGGCTTTGGGCTTGGGGGGAATGAGGTGGGGACTGTGGCAGCAGCTCTGCACTGCCTGCCAACACCAGGGGCAGAATATCTGTCCAGGGGGAAGCTTAGCTGGGCCTGCAATTGCAAAGCATCCCTTCGGATGTGCTGGAGCAAACAGCAGGGCTAGGATATTGCTGCAGCTGTTACAGAGCACAGAGCAGCTGAAGGAAAACAGTGAAAAACTTCAAAACAAATATCCTGAGGAATTGTTTGGAAGCTTTCACATATTTTTTGTCTTCTGCTCCTGTCTCCAGATCTACATAGAGATTCTGATTGCTGGTCTTACTGTCTGTTCATCAAGTGGGTACCACAGGATGCTCCCCAGTTCAGTAGAATCATATGGGGGAAAAATCCACATGTTCAGATGGAATTTTCTACATTCATTATTCTAAATGCTGTCACTGATTTCTCAGGAAATAAGCAAAAGCACCTTGTTGGTTTGGGATTTTTTGGTGTGATTTTTTTTTGTTTTGTTTTGTTTTTTGGTTTGGTTTTCTGTTTTGTTTTGGTCTTTTGTTTTAATTTTTTTTATTTTGTATTTTTTTCTTTTTACCATATTTGATTTACCTGCTTGTTTCTGTTTCTCCAGTGTCATTCTGTGCCTTGGTCAGAGATTTTAGGTAATTCTAGAAAAATAAGCACCATTCTGAGGTGTTCTGCAGGTGTTTTTTGTTTGTTTTTTTTTAAGAAGTTTTCTGTTAGTAACCTAATTTCACATTTTCAGTTAAATGACTGCTGGCTTATGTGGGGGAGGGACGAGAGCTGTCAGTGAATGAGCTGTTAAGTTTCCAATGACTTTGAGCTTCTTTCCCAATGCTAGAGAGCAGTGCTTTAAAGAAAAACTGTTTCTATTCAGGTGTGTTTTGCAGTCACAACATTCTAAGGATAAAAGAAGGACTTATTATTCTATGTAAATTGTGAAATGTATCAATTTAGATAAGCTTTTATTTGAAATTGTTTTTTCAGTCAATACCATACAATTTCTGAAGGTATCTGTGCTGTTGGGGACTGTTCATGTCATCTAGTGGCTCAGTGACTGTGAAATACCAGAGCTACTTCCAGTCTGAGTAAAGGCTTAAGTACCAGAAATGGAAAGCTTCTAATTGCATAAGATATTTATTGATAAGTAACTGCTGCATCTTTTCTCTGAATTATTCATTTTAAAGTCACCATAAGAGCAAGACTATGCTACTATGTAAATATTTTCATATTCAGTAACTCATCTGGAGAAGCTGGGATGATGTCAGGGATGAAGAGGAATCTCTGGGAAAAAGAAATATTTTCTGCAATGTCTTGAATTATATCCATCCCTGACAGCTGACAGCTGCAAGTACCAGGAAGAAAGTCCTCAACAGAGAGTACGTTTAACAGGTTGCTTTGGGGGCTAATATTAGTAAGTGAATTATCATTTTTCCTTCATACAGTGGTATTGTATTCAGGGCTCCCAAATGGTAATTTAATATAGCTGAGGGTCTTTAGAAGGTTTTAATACCTTCTTAAGTAGCTAGAAACTGATATATCCATCCCTTGGACATAAAAATAGCTGGTATGAGCTATGATGGAGGTCTTCAGTTGTTCTTTGGCCTACTGATGGAGGGATTTTTCCCAAGACCTGAAATAACCCTGAAATGTAGCAGGTTAGTTTGCAACAGGACAACAGGATGTAGACATTTGGAGCTTTTTTTTGATACCGTTGCTGTAGGGAAAGCATTAGTTTGAGCATTAATTTCTTGGTGTTTTTAAAATGCTGGACTTGTGTCTTTCTTACAAAAGAAAAGGATGGTGTCAGGCACTCGAAGAAAGGGAAGAGCACTGTTTGTGGACTTGTTCTATTTGTGCTTCCTTACCCAGCAAATCACTCACTCTCAGGCACTTACTTCAAAAGAAGGCTTGATTTAAACAGCAGGTTTTGTGAAGCACTGTGAGCTGGGGACATTTTTCTCCATCTGAAAAAGCAGATGCTCACTATATTCATTGCTCTGATCATCACCAGTGCTGAGTGCTTAGGTACTTCTGCTTTCTTTTGAAGGCAGGGGAGTAAAGGTGGGTTTCCTTTATCAGAATCTGTCTCTGCAGTCTGAAGAAGATGCTCACAATACCTTTCTTCTGTTAAAACAATCAGGCCAAACTTTGAAGAAGCAGCATTGATCTATGCTTTTGCAAGACTTGATACCAAACCTTAGACACACCAATCCCCATTTAAAACTGCAAGGCTTTCATCCACATCAGTGGATGCAGCACTCAGAATTACCACCAGTGGAGCTTTTCCTTGTTAGCAGTTTAAAGTTGCATCAGAGCAGTGTTCCAACAAGCAGTGTTCCATCTACTGACAGTGGTGAATTCTGCCTAACTTCACACTAATTTAAGAATAAAATCAGCGTCACATTTGGAGGCGAAAATCCTTTTGTTTTCCTAAATAATTGCAGTTCTGGTATCAATCGGTTCTTTTATTCTTTCTCACATCAGAAGGATTTGAATTCTGCAGTTTTTGTGTTGGGTTTTGCACCTTCATGGACTATGAATTCACTTTGCTTGGTACACCACCAGCACCCACAGTTTGCACCAGTGCCCATAGTAGGAACCTGGGGACAAATGTACATAGAGCTGTGGTGGACATGGTCTGTCTGTCACCAAAACAGACTGCCAAAGTGTCCTGGATGTGGCTGGTTGATCTACTTTCTCTCTGTTCCCCCTCTCCACTGTGGCCACCTGGGTACTTCAGAGACACCAGATGAGAAATGGGTCCTCTTAATATCAAGACTTTGACTCCTGCATGACATTAAGGAAAGTTAAGCTTTCCTGAGCTGAGATATCTCTTCCTGCCTTCTCAGGTCATGGGGACAAAATGGTGGCTTTTTGTTTTCCAAGAGCATTCTTAACAATTTCTGAAGTTAAAGATTTTTCTCTTAACTTGCAAATGATGGCACACATGACAAGTTGGTATAACACAGTCATGTGTGCTGATACTTAGAAGGTGAGATTTTGAGGTTTATGCTTCTCTCCATTGCAGAAATGGTTGTTTGCATAAACCTTGTTTTTATGCTGACAAGCTGATATATTACTGTGGACACAGAACTGGCTGTTGGCTGATATAAGAGAGAAAAACCACAGTCATCTTAATGCTGGGAGATTTGTCAGTATTAGAAGAAACAGATGGCTTGGAAGAGAAAAGATTAGAAGGGGGAAAATTTGAGTATTCTGGGTAGCAGTTAGATCAGTTCCAAAAGTGAAGAGGAAGGATTCATTGTGCATTTTGAGCATAAACTCCTACTTTTCTTTGATTTATAAAACATCAGCTGGTTTCAGTCCAGTGTCAGAGTGCTTACAGAATAAGACAGTCTTAGTTAGTAATTTCAGTTTAAATTGGCTGGAGTTTTGATGTTAATTGAATTGTTTTCCCTTTGCAGGGACCTCAGGGGCCTCCAGGACAAAAGGTATAGTATAAACAACAATGCTGTGAAAGTGATTATTCCTCCCGTGCCAAATTGCATGCAGAAAAGGTGAATGGAATAAGCTACTGTACGCTGCATTGAATCAATTAGCTTAGGTTCTGAATTTTGCCTTTGCAAAATGGAGCCATATAATGTGAGACACAAGATTTCTCATTTCCCCCATCATATGAAGTTCAAGCAATGCAGAGCAGACTGTTTTTAATCTGTCTACTTAACTTTCAGGTGAAAAGGTCACTATAATTTTCTCATTCATAGACTGGTACGATTAGGAAGCCAAAGTTCAAGCGTTGTGAAAGGTGGGGAGATAAAGTTTCTGATTAAATGCATGTCTCTACTCAAGTAGATCAGTGCCATATGACTAAAGAATTGACCAGCAGAAACAAAGGGCGTAGGTGTTGCTGATAAATAGTGCTTGGTCGGTGCTGTTCAGGTGGTCTGCCGGTGTCTTCCTGTTCCTCCGGTAACCCGAGACCTGCCTTCCTGGGAATGCCTTCAGCCTTATTTACACTCATTAAAGCTGACTGCCTCAGTTTGATTGAGTGAGTTTAGGATTTATGGAATTACACCATTAAAACAGCCCTCAGAATATCAGCAGAAACAGCTAGTGAGTGGTATTTTTCCGGCATCTGACTCACATACCGCCAAGCTGAGTAATTTTCTAGCTGATTTGAAAAGATCGAAAAGTTGTATGAAAGATATTTAATAAAACAGCTATAATTTATATAAAGGAAAAAAAAAAAGAGGAAGGAATAAGTAGTATTGACATATGTGAGAAGGATGCCTGCTTTCCCTCTTCTCAGATTATGTTCTTTAGAGTGAAGCATCTGTTAAAATAAACTTTTTTACAAAAGAAAGAAAACCTGTGATGTGTAAAAAACGTAATCCCAAAGTACTCAAATTGTTGGAATTTTGGCAGCTGTTGGCTGTATGGAGTTTGCAGGCTGAAGGAGAGGACTACCCTTTGTGTTTGGCAATGCAGGAATGTGGCTCACATCTAAGTTGCCCTTACAAAGCTATACCCTGAGAATTGTGGAGGAGGATACTTTGTGTGTATGACATCAGCAAAACACATGTGCTGATGGGCTTTTGAATATCTGATAAACATTTACTTATCACAGTAGAATCAGCTTCATTTGACACTTTCTAACATCCTGTGTTTTGTAAGAAAAATAATCAGCTGCCACTGAGAGGAGGAACTGTTATACAAAGGATAGTTTATTGAGGCTGATGGCTTAATGCCCTCCTGAGCTTTGCCTTCTAATTTTCTGGAAAAATTATACAGAGATGTGGAAGTGTTCACTCAGGCCCCTTTGCAGTAGCTTAAAGCCATGACCATGCATTCAGCAAAAAGAGACAAGAAGGATGCCAAAGTGGAAGCCTTGGGAGAAAGGGGAGAGCATTGTGAGTCAAAGAGATAAGCTGGGATGCGGTGTATTATTTCTTACTGATTCAAAGCTCTGTTACTAGCTCTTGGAGGGTTCTTAAGACCCTCATGCGTTGGTTCCTTTTCCTGTTTCACAGGATTTTCCAACTCTGTTAATTGACAAATGTCTGCATCCATTTTGAACACATTTCCTTTGGGTGTTGGTGATAATTTTAGTGACACCTCTAGGCAAAAGAGAGGGGAATTGCCATGCAGCAATTCTTTCAGTTCCCTTATTAAGCAGCACCATCTTTATAAAATAAGAGGAGAATGCTGTACAAGCCTATGCACCTTTCCTGCTTTCCTCATGTTTTGTGTTTTCTCTGAACTTCCATAGCAAGTTGCACAAGGACCTTCAAAAATTATCTATCACATAGAAATTTACAGTATGAGAGCTTTATAAAAAGATCTCTCAATGTTAGAAGTCATTGTTAATTTTTTTTTTCTTCTTTGTCACTTGTGGTTGGCCTGTATTGACCTTTTAATTCTGATTGCACTAATACTGGTGCAGTTTCAAAGTGTATCTGTAATTTGTACTGTCAGACTGAATCACTGAATATTATCTCTTAAAAGCCTTGAGATTGATTGGTGCTACAAGTTACTGAGCTTGAATGATCCTTCTAAAAGCATTAATAGTTTTGTTCAGGTGCTATATTTGATTGCATGGCATCAGTCTCAAAACTTAATGAGAGCATTAAATGGAATAGCATTTTAATTCTAACATTTATTGTGAAGCACCCACAACATTACAAAACATGAGCTTGAAGCTTGTTTCTGGAAAAGGCCATACAGTCCTTAAAATGTACAACATGAGAACATGTCTAATTAGTATAAAATCTCAGCTGAAAGGAGAGCTCAGCTTGGATAAAAATGAGTTCTTGAAAAATTTATTGCAATTCCAATAAGCAAACATTCACCATTATTTCTAAACACTGTATCATGAGATGAAAGGTTTCATGACGTGTTTAATTTGCTAAACACTGGCGTCTGGTTCCCTCCAGGGTTCTGTTGGAGTGCCTGGTGTTCCAGGGAGAGATGGACAAGTGGTGAGTTTTCTGACTTTTTCAGCACTGCCATTATTTATGTAGTGGATTAAAGCAATTTTGGTCTTGTTCACGTGAACAATATGCAACCTTATATCCATAACTGTGGTTTCAAATCGGCTTCATGAAAAAGGCCATGTATAATATAGCATAATGTGCTTTGTGCTCTGAAGTAATTTTTTTCTAGTTTTACCTGAACAAGCAGCAAATGTAATTAATTAAGCTGAAAGTCTAGTGTTCAAATTTGGTGATGACTGATAGGTTGTAGAAAGAAATGTATATTAACAGTGTGTTACTTGAGTCAGCATATTAACAAACAAAGGGTTTTTTACTTTTTGTTAACTCAGTCTCATAATGCAAACACTTACGTTGATACTGGGTACTGATGTGGTGCCAATACATTGTTAATACAACCTATAAATAGAGAAATAAAAAGAAATGGAAGTGCAGCTGGAGGATAATTTCAAATTGAATTTTGGGGGGAATAAATCAAACAAATATTTTTGAATACAGCCAAGAGGAAATGCTAATTTAGGCAAGTCACTGTCAGAGTTCAGAATGGCCCTCCATAAGGAGAGGTCACAATAAAGCAGCAGGGCTGTGTTACAGCATTGCTAAGGTTTCTTGGCAAATCTGGGTGATGAAGTTTGAATAGTATACCTCCTTGACTGTAAAGAGTACTATCCATCTGTTGTTCTCACAAGCCCTAGCATTCCTAGAGCACTTCAAAAGCACTGGCAAGGGATCCCAAAAAGAAAATGTATGATGTATATTCACCAGGTTCAAGCAGCAGCAGATGGTAGTGAATAAGGGTTGTAATAGACAATCCTCTCTTCTGCTTCCCTCACCAAGAGCCCTAGGAATAAGTGTTGTTTCAAATAATTTACTTTTAGTTCTTCTTTCCTAAAAAAGAAAAAAAATAATGTATTGTTACTAATAGCATAATACATAATATTAGACCTGCATTTTCAGAGTGGTTATAGGAAATAATGTAATAATCGTATATTTCACCTTAGTGATAGTGATAGGAATTTATTTTAAACTATTCTGAGTATTACAATTAATGTGAAACAACAAAATAAGAAATATTTAGAATTAAATATATATACACACACACACATATATATATTTAATACCAGAATTTATAAGAAAATAATATGAAACAAATTTTCAGTAAGTCCTCAGATTTTTTCCTTCATATTTTATAAGTGAAGTCACTTGCAACAGGAATAGTAGACAGTGCTTACCAACTGAGATGCTCTTGCTGTACATGATTCAAGTAATTTTTGTGGTCTGACTGAAATGCCAGTGAAAATTTACTTTGTGGCATATCTGTAGGAATATGTAAGAACACTGGATAGGTGAAGTTGGAAACTGCTCTGAATAGAACAGAACTGATGATTCATATTTTATTCAAGAACTTTATTTTTAATAGTAATCATGCAAACTCCAGCAAGAAAAATTCACTCAAATGAGCAGAAAAAATTGATATTAATGAAATGTGTCAAATGTGTGATTAATGTGTCATTTTGGGAGACAGGGAATTTTTTTAAGCTCTTTGGCAAGGTTGTTGCATGTCTATTTTTAGGAGACCACATAGACTTATCTGCTGTCATTTTTCAGGGGGAATAAAAGAAATATGCAGTTGAACATTATGGGAAGATGAAAACACATCTTTAAGTGTTGATTATTAATTTTAAATAGTGCTTTTAAAAAACTCCAAAATTTTCAATTTATGGGTGTCTTATTTATTTTATTTACTTCGTCATTCATCACATCTATAACTTCGCAGACATTTTAAAATTATTACCACTTTATTAAAGATGTCAGTGTGTTTTTAGTGTAGCTGGACTGCTTTACTTTTGACCTTTAAAAAAAAAACCTGAATTACTAAAGTGAAACAGAGGGAGTGGGACAAAAGTCACACAGATAAAAATAAATTGCTGTTGCATTCTTTAATTTGATTTCTTAACTGTTGGTCGATATTGACTCGAAACCACTTCCTTATTTGCAAAAAATATATTATTTTCATCATACTAGGCAGATGAAAGTTGAATGTTGCTATCTCTTTAATAAATAGATTAAAAAATTCTGTTAGCTTGGAAACAGTGGTAGAAATGAAGTTTAAACTGAAGCAGTGTTTGTCTAAAGTTAGAAAGTATAATGCAGCCTAGCAATCCCATGTTAATATTTTGCTATCAAAAGGTCAGTTCTTCCAGTTTCTATGAAAAACCAGATTCTCAGTGCAGTGCAGCACGCGAGATGTTGATGAGGACCAGAGTGGTGATTTTAAGAGTTGGGCTGTACTGTGAGCCAGCTGCTGGCACTTCTGGCTTTACTCATTCAGATTCAGGGTGACTTGCAGAATAGTTGGGTTCAACTTGCATGTGTGATGTGAGTCATCCCCTTTTTAGAAGTGACACAGTTAAAGGACTTTACAAAAGCCTTACTGTCTCGGTTGCCTTTTGGCCAGCGAGCTCGCTCTGTCAGACAGCAGCATGTGCAGTGCACTAAGTTCCAAGTTAATATTTTTCCTTGGTTTAAAAGGCAGTGAGTGTTAAGCACATGCTTAAAATTAAGTGTGCAAATGCTTTTCTCGTTTGGACAATGAAGTATTTTTCAGCCGATGAATGTCAGCTGTGAATTAGCTTTGCTCTGTCCTCAAGCAGTTGAACAAAACAGAGTTAGGTCATCTCCATCATCTACGTGCCTCTGTAATTTTCCTTTTTCTTTCTTTCACCTCTTCTTTAATTGAAATACCGAGCTATGGGAGATGATTGACAAGTCTGACCATAGGTCTGGGAATGAGATCATAAATTTTGAGTGCACTTAGAACAGTCTTTTAATCCCTTAACATATGAACCACTTGTCTTAGACAGTCTCTAGATATTAGAGGAAGTGTAATTTTACATAACCCACATGTTTTTGCAGGACTGTTAACTAGTAGATTTTTTTTGTATTTAGAGTAGCAAGATCACTGCCATAAAACCTTCACACATTAGGCCAAATCCAGTGAAACATTACAGGTAGTCTTGCAAGGACATTTGCAGTCTTCATTTGTTCCTACATTTGAGAAACTGCAGCAAGTTTATCTTGAGAACAGTAACTGGAAAGGAACTGCTTAATAATACCTGCAGCTGGAAATAGTGTTGTTTTTGGGATGGACCAAAACCTGCTGTAATAAGGAATCTTTCTGAGTGCTCCTTTTCCTTTGCAGACTGTTGTGCAAGCCACGGGTTCCTTTCTGTCATGATGCAATAAACTTCCCTTTCTCCATCCCTGGCAGAAGTTCCTCAGGCACTTGAAAAGTACAGAAAAGCATTAATTCTGCATGGAGCTAGGAGGTTGCAGTGATCTGAGGATATCACATCCGTACATTAATCATGTTGAAATGGCCACAAAGGGCTTCTTGGAAAGTTAAACTCTGCAAGTATAGAATGTATATTCTGGTATTTGTTAAGTGCTGCTGATTTGATAAGGGCTGTCAATGACTGCAGCAGCACACAAAGAGAAAAGCAGAGATTCCTTAAGTGTTAAGATGGTATATGGCTGAAGGAACCCAGTTTCTGTAGTTTGAGCAAATAACCGTCTTTGTTATAAATAAGAGTTTGTCTGGAGTGCATAAACCCCTCACTCTAAACTTCCATAAATCTTTTCTTACGTAGTACTTGATATTTTGGTGGGTTTTTTGGTAAGGGTATATTGAAAACAGAATGAATGGTCAGGATAGATTCTTTAATTTCAAATTCCTCTGGTAGATTTGCAATAGCAATATGATAAACCTCAAACAATTTTCCTTCATATCAGTAGATTCAGAGTCTGGGTATGCACATTTCTTACTGCTTTCTTCATGCTTTTTGTTTCTCTAATTTACATGTATTTCCTTATTACTGTGTACAGTGCTGTGTAGGAATAGATTTTGAAGGTGGCAGTATCAAATTTTTTCAGCGAAATGAGGAAGGGTATGCATGTACTAACATTTTTTCAAATAAAGGGAGGAAACATCATAAATATGGTTCACAAATTCCCAGACAGGTTCCCAGGTTTGCAGGCCAGCTGAGTCTTGTTGAAGAAACTTTCCTCTTAATTTCAGTTGGTGAGTGGGCCAGGAGAGATTTCTAGTTCTTAAACAAACAATTTTAAATTACTTTGGAGGGGCGCAAAAAGCCAGTTGAAAGGAATTGAATTCCACCCTGGTTTGAAATGGAAATCATAATAACATATCTGAAAAACCTCTTTTTTACCCTCTGTCCTCATCTATGTATTTTAGAGTAAAATTAGAGTGGATTAGGTCTGGGGCCTCTTGTGTTTCCTTATCCTTAAATTGATTACATTCTAGTGACTGAAAAATATAGCAATACTGACAGCCTTTCTTTCAGGGTGAGGTGGATATCAACCAGCTGGTGTAGAGAGTTATTGCATCGCACCAAAACAAAACCTATTTCAGAACTGCAGCCTCTGGGCTGTTTTGCTGTTACAAAAAAGAAAAGCTGGGGCCTCCAGCCATGTTATTTTTAGCTGATTAATTCTGGATATGAAGGTATATGCCTCAGGGGCAGAAAGCACTCCGGTAAGGAGAAGCATGCTTTCAACTGCCTCAACTCCTTTAATATGGACTCTGGTGGGTAATACATTTTCAGACCTGTTATGAAGTAGATTTTATTAGTTCATATTGACAGATTTCTTTCTCATATTACCAGCAGAGCCCAAGCAATGCTCTATACACCTGAGTACTCACCAAATTCAGATTCACTTCAGTCTAAGCATTAAGACTGCCCCTACCACAAGAGTATCTGAAGAAGCTGCTACACCTATTTATTGAGCAGAGTGCTGAAAGTTGTTCTTTGCCTGAATACAGGAAAGAGTTAGGGGCTTGGTCAAGTTACACAAAGGCAAGATAAAAATAACTTCATATGAAAAAGAAGTCAGGGGTTACCTAAACAGTATTTCTAATACAATATTTGTGTGTTTACCAATGTGGGACATGACGTTTGTGCGTCTGGTAGTTTTGTTGCTGCTTTGGTGCAGCAGAACCTTGATAGAGAGGATGTTCAGATAAGATGGTGCTGGTACCCCAGCATCCCATGGAGCTCTTGCTCTTTCCATCATGGTGTCAGGTGCATCATAAGCTGCACATTGCTGAGGTAGCCTTTGGAAATCATAGCCCACCTCAGTGCCAGGAGGGAGAATTTTATTTTTATTTTGGTGTATCATGGTAGTTCTACACAGTGCTCATTGCACAGGACAGCTTCTGCAGTATGGTTTAGCTGAGAATAAGAATGCAGAACGGCAGAAAGAGCAAATAACAATTGATTTAAATTGAGTACTAAGACACTTCACACCTCACTACAGTATCTTCCCCACTGTCCATCCCTTTTAGAGATAAGTTCCAAGGGGATGTTCTGAGGGTACCTTCACACAATTTTTCTGGGTCTTGTATCTTTTTCTTATGTGACGGTGTAGTTTAGCCCTCATAAATTCTCTGACTGGGATCATGGGTTGGGTTTTATAGGCACTAGAAAGTTTTAGAATGATTGCCATCACTCTGTTACTGAGCAGTAATTTCTCAGGGGTTCATGACTGGAGAAAGGTGAGCTGTGAGCTAAAGTTAGATGTACTGTAGAAAAAAATTACTCTTTAAATTGGAAAAAAACACTGTCAAGGCTACTCTTGGAGTACTGTGTCCAGTTGTGGGCTCCTCACTACAAGAAAGACATGAACATACTGGGTAGAATCCAAGGTCCTCAAAGGTGATCTCCAGAGGTGCCTTCTGAGTTCAAGCATTCTGTGATTCTGTGAAAGAAAAAATAAATAAAAATATGCTGCCTTGGTTTGAAACCTAGCTGATGTACTCAAGACAATTGTTTCTGCAACCTAACTCCTTTGCTGTCAATGCAATTAAAGAGAGACTACAATAGCAGTCAGGAAAGACATTAGCCATGGCCTGGTGAATGTAAAAAACATGTGACATTGAGGATTTAGCTTTATAGCTTCTTCCATTTTATCAGGTTGAAAAGCAGTCTGATTTAAATTGTTGCATCGAATGGCATCGTTGAGTGTCTGGTGTTCCCTTGCATGCATCACTCCTTGAATAGCAGGGTCACCTTCTTCAGCCTCTTAAAAATCAGCTGTGCTTTTTGCTCATCTCCAAAACACTAACCTGTGGGGATGAAGTGTACTTGTACAGCATTTTACACTCCAACTTTACTCTTAGAGCATTTTGCGCTCTGGTTTTAACACATGCTTTTAGTAATAAATAGATAAATAAATAGAAGTAACTAAACAGAAGAAAAACAACTAACTATACGTCCTAAGAGAAATATTTTAAATTATTTTCAGGCCCAAGAATCAAAATCATTTTTTGGGATGAACACATCTAAAATGACACAGTATCTGAGTAGGGAAGAGCTATCAATCTACTTGTCTGCAAAAGTTAACAGCTCTTTGCTTCATAACTACTTTGAGCAAAGCATTTTTAGTTTTGTTTTGTTGTTTGGTTTTTCTTGTTTATTTTGGGGGGTTTATGTTAAGGCTTACTGGAATTGTAAAAATATCTGCACATAAAGCCAGACTGCCATACCTACAAGACATGCAGAGTGACAAAGGGAGGCTCCCTGGCACAGAGCTTGTTTAGCTCTGCACTGGGAATTTTCATCAGGACTAGGACATAGAACGCCTTATGGGCTGTACATGTTCACCTTTTTTCACTGATTCTATGTATAGACAAGAAAATAAAGGTCTAACGTAGGAAAAAGAATCTTTTCCCTGCTCTTCTGAACATTAGCAAGAGAATGATAATCACTTCAAAAACATAAAGGCACAAGGTCATTACTGTGTTATCCTTCTGGGTTTGCCTTCAATCTTTCCCATTCCCGGGGCTAGTTTCTGCACTTCAAGTATCTCTGCCTTGTACTTTCATTACTGTAAGTGTAGTGCTGAGCATAGCAGTTGCCCATAGGTCAGAAATGCAATTACTGGTATGAATGGGGATTTACTATGACTGGGTGACAGGCTGAGGTTTTCACTTTTTCCAAAGAAAATAATTTTTTTGTTCTATTTTTGCAATCTCCTTTTTGTCACAGCAGTGGCCCTCTGCATCCATAGCACTGATATGTAAACCTGGGAGGAAAGTGCAAGCTTGGGACTTCAACCTTTTGATTAGAGATTTAAAGCATCAGCTTTAAAGCATCAGCCGACAGCAGCTGTTTGAAAATGAAGGGAACAGAAGCAAGCGTGTTTGGGGTGTGGGGATGAGGAGAAACAAGTGTATATTCATGGGTCCCTTCTGCTTCATTTTGTCAACTGGCAATTTTCTTCAAGAGCCTTTTAGGTCAATCCTTTAGGACACTCACACCTAATCTCCAACAGCTTCAAATCCTGAGCACTCAAATATCAAATGCCTGTGCCACTTTATCAGCCTCACAGCTACTGTAGTACAAAGGGGCCTTGAGAAGGGGCTGACACAAGTGACTATTTCATTCCCTGAGGGTTTAATGGTACCTATTTTTTGCTCTGGCTTGGAAAATGCCTCACTAGAGGTGTGCTAGAACTTTGATGGTTTTGGTTTGTTTTTTGAAACAGTGCAAGTCTTGAGGAAATTAAAATGTAATTAATGATTCCGTTACCTAATTTAGAAAAACAATGGAACTTGCTTTCACAGACAATCAGAGTTAATACATCTATGATTAAATCTGCCTGCAGAAGTAAGAAAGAGATAAGTTCTTAGTAGGAGACTTTTATGGAGGAATAGAAAATATGTCTTGTTGTGTTTAGAAAAGCCTTTATCTTAATGCTCTGTAACTTTTGAGTAGAGGATTGGTTCATGATGTGTACTAAATTTGAACACTGTGTGAAAATTGTTCACTGACTTACTGATGCAAATTACTGTTCCAAATTTGATTGCTATGTTAGTTATTTGATTTAACTTTACCACATTTTTCTAGACTCAAATAGCAAAGGGCTTTTAGAAGGACCAAGCTGCAGACTTTTAAAAATCTTTTTTTGGCTTTTATTTTAATGTGCTTTGCCATGTTGGAAGTGTGATGCAGTTCTCTATGTGAGGGTTATCAGAGGTATTTCTTGTGAAACTGAGATATACATCTGCAGAAGCTTTTGCACATTAAGCCATGAGCTCTAGTTGTTTTACAATAAGTCTAACCATTACATTATTTTATCTAAAATTAATACCTGTCATTTTCCCATAAATGTGGGATATAAACATTAAAAAAAATTTTTTGAGGGTTTTTTGTTTGACTAGGTTTTTATTCTCGTTGGCTTGTTTTCTTTATTTTTAAAATTGAAGATGGGAAAGAAGATTGAAAATAAGTGTTATTTGCTGATTGACTCATGAAAATTTATGACTCCTTAAACTGTAGGAGAGTAATATACTACTCATTGAACATACCGAAAATTTGGAGCATTGATGTAATGCTGACAGTTTTTAAATCTTTTAAAACCACTTTTCAACCACTGGTATAAAAAATGGATAAGCAAAGTATATTTAAAAAATTGAAAAGCTCTCTGCTTTTCCAAATTCTTCCATTTCTGAAACTGGCCCTTCTCATTTTTTTTCATTATCTCTTTTCCATCTGAGACCAGAAACACAAATGTCAAAATAAATTAAGACAAGCCTTTCTTGCAGCATTTCTAAGTTGTAGAAAAGAGGAAAGCATTGGCAGTCTTTCTGGGAAGACTGTGCTTTTAAGGCTAACTGGACAGATTTTAAGAATCAGGAGTCACTGGTCTCCTTCCTGTTTAGTGAGACATCTGTGTGTTTCCACCTTTTTCAGAAGAATAATTTCTTACCTTACATGTGTTACAGTTAATCCACCCTAACTGACAAAATAACTCATTTTAGTGCCCAGCTATGGACTACATCTTTGCAGAGTCTTTTATAATTGTGTTTATCATTACTGACCCCTTATGAGAAGGTTCATATATTTCATCATGTCTTTCTTAACTTTATCTTTCTTTTTCTTTGCCTTTAGGGTGAACCTGGTTTGCCTGGCATAGCAGGAGAGAAGGGAGAAGCAGGGCTCAAGGTCAGTATTGAAAATGAATTAAAAACAGAAGCACAGAGCATGTGAGTGCATATGTAAATGACAGTTGTGCTTTCCAACCTGGGTTTATATTCTGACTGACTTTTAATGATCTGCTCCCTCCAGTGATCAGTGCTGTAAGAGGCTTTACACATCTCACCATGAAGAAGCGTTTTCTTCCGCTGTGCATGTATAATTCCAGTCGGGGGCACTGATTCATAGGCATCCACTGCCAGCTGAATGCAATATGCCTGCAAGTGTTTGGGAATCTGGGGACCTTTTCAGAAAGGCTTTGTTTATGCCCCTTACAATGTGTTTCAGGCTTCTTTTCAAGAACTTCTGTGGTCAGTTCTTTGACAAATGTCAGGGTGAAGTCTTGAGGGCTGATCCTGCTATTATGGAAGTTTGCAACATGCCTCATTAGGAGCATGTCTCAGCCTGTATTTGTTACATCAGAATGACTCTTTGCACTTTATTGTTCTGTAGTTTGTTCTGCTGTTTTAATATTGAACAAGTGAAATAGAACATACAGCTTATGATGATAACTTCATTTACAAGAAAACTCGACATGTCCAAGATGATGGGACCTGTGGGGCTCTTGGAGGGGGTAATGCTAATTTCTAATCCCATCAGCTGCGAGTGAGCGTCCCTGGTGCACATGTGCTCCTCAGCTGATTCTGTGCATCATGCTGCTGCTGACAGACATGCAAGGCAGCCTCTTTACATTTACTGACTGGCTGCTTGTCCATCAGGAATGAAAACAAACCGTTTGGGAGCATGACCTTTTCTTACTTTGTATAGAGAAGAAGCCAAATTATGGCAGTTGATGCTTCATTCGTATTCACAGCTGTAGTCCCTGAGTTGCCTAGCGACTGCCAGCCATCAGAAGGGGCAAAGATGAACCAGAGTGCAGCTCTGAGTCACAAATGCAGAGATGAGTTGTCAGGGTCAGGCTGGTGTGCAAAAGTGCTTTTGCAGTTTCTCAGGCACGTTTTAATTTTGAAAACAGTAATGGCTATAAGCCATCTTTTTGTTACAGAGATTGTTACAAAGAGTGGAGAGAGCACTGAAGGCTCTTTACTCTGGAACAGTCATGAATTTGTTCAAGACACTTAAGGCGTTTTCTCTCTCTTGAGGAACCTTCTGAGCCGTTGACAGAATCATAAGACTTCCCCTTCACATCCAGACTTTTTGTTTCTTTTGTTTGTTCCCAAAACAAAGAGAACCAAATGTAGGAGCCACCTAGCTCTCTGCAGGCTGCTTCTCAAAGACATATGCCTGTTTGTCAGGGTCTAGGACAAAATAGAGAGAGGTCTTCACATGAAAACATTGAAGCTTTAAAAAAAAAAAAAAGTTGAAGTTGTACTGTCCATTGAGAGCTATTAAATTTACATATTTTATTGTTCATTGGAGATTTTCTTGTTGTATCATCTGAGATGTCATCAGTAGTGACATAATTATTAGTAAGGATAGTAATACTAATATTAATAATAACTAATGATAGTAAAGCTAACACTCAGATTTCTGCTTGAGTTAGTAACTTATGACTTCTTTGCTCCAATTATTTTCCTTAGGGTGACCCTGGAGAAAGAGGAGAGAAGGTGAGATGTTCAACTTCCTTTGTTGTCTTTCTGTTTTGAGGAACTTGCTTGGAGTGTACTGATCCTGAGCTTAAAAATAAAAATCCACAGCTCCTACCTGGAACTAATGTGACACAGTGCAGCCTTCCCAAGGGTCAGATAATACCTGCTAATGGAAGTTATTGATCTGTGGTTACTGCAGTGGGATTAGTCACAGAGTGCAGTGATTGTGTGTTAAAGGCTGCACAGATGAGCAATCAGGCAACTAATCCTAACTGTGGTGAGTCTCAGAAAATGATGAGCCTGTCTGAATAAATTAGAGATCCACACATTTCTCAAAACCAAGTTATGACGCTCTGACACCTGTGTGGAATAAAGCAGTTAGGTAACAGAATGGTAAAACTACATAGATTCTAAGTGATACCTGGATAACAAGCTCTCCAGGTACTAAAAATAAAAATGGAAATGGAATAAAAAATAAAAATGGAATAAAGAAAAAATTGAATGCTCCATTTGTGTTTGTGTCAGTTTAAGTAAAAGCAAGGGAGTCTGCCCCCGTGATCTCCAGTGATGCTGTCTGGAGAGGCACACTGATGGGGCTCTCACTTGCTGTGAGTTAGCAAGAAATTGCTTCTCTGATGTCCAGTCATACCAAGGCAAGACAAGGGGGTGGAACAAGCTCCATGCTGGAAAAGGGGAGTATAATTCTGTTCCCCCAGGCATAGTAGCAGGTAGGAGCACAGTGAGTTTAGAGCTGAGCTTCCTCACCTGCTCACTGGGGCAGTTTGAGAAATAGCATAAGCCTTATTTTGAGTAGGAATCCATGCACAGCCTCATCTTCTGCAAGTATACTGACCTTATATTTAAAAAATAAGTTGTTTGTACTGAGATGCAATTTGCTCTTGATAAATGTTTACCTGTGTCTTTGCAGCTACAACTGAATTTCACTTCCAGATCCATGTAAATCTGTGTAATAGCAGCTGGAAGCATGCATTGCCAAGACTATCAATTTCACATTTTCAAAAGCACACCATAAAAATAATCTAGGGAAATCTTAAAAGTCTGTACCCCACATGGAGAACTATGTGATCATGAAATATTCATAATGAAATAATTTATTCTGTTAAAATGATATTTTAAAGTACTTCAGTAATCCTTAGTTTGTTTTCAGACATAAAAGGAATGACTTTGGATTTTAATATGTGGTGAATTTTTGTCACTTAAAACCATTTTATTTTTCCATAATTATCCTTTGTCTTTTTCTAAAATGTGTTGTTACAGATCCCCTCAATAAGTTTATCATGTTAATTGAACTTGAGTAACATTCCTCACTGTTACTCTTCCATGTTTCATGTATGTTTCTTTAGTTAAAGTGCTGCTAGATTGTTAGCTGGTTCCCATTGTATCAGTGGCTGTGATGTATAAATTTCTAAGTCTTCTCCAAAAGGATTTCACATTAAGGTTTTCAGAACAATCTGATACTGAATAATGTTGTTAGAACAGTACTACTGGTTATCAGACCAAGGCCAGAAATGTGTTTTCAGTCTACTTAGGCTTTGTTTTTATCTATATTTTTTGAATTTTAATACTTACTGTGCTTTAAACGACCCTCAAGTCCCACAGAAATTTTTAGCCTGTATTCTTAACATAAAACAACATTCAGCATATTTGATGTAGTCTGGACTTCTTATATGGTTACATGACTGAGTGGAAATTTGGTCTTTATTTATAGATAAATATTGTGAAATTTTTCTTTTAAAATTTTGGGCATTTTTTTGAGTAGAAAATGTCTACTCAGACATTAAAATGTTATCTGAATATCACTTTTTAAACAAAAACAGTGCATAGAATTTATGTAGAGATAAAGTCATTTGGTAGCTCCTTGGAGGAGTGACATTTAGTGAATTTTTTTTTAGTTTGTAAATCATTCATGAAGGACTTCAGACTCAGAGAGTGTATGCTATAAATTACTTGAGAATCTCAATAAAAACTACTGGGATTGTCTAACTGTCAATAGATACATCGAGGTGAATGTGTCTGTGTTGGGAAGAAAAATGTATTTCTGATTTAAAGTGCTGAATCATCATGGAATCATTAAATCATTCCTTCCTTGCTAAACTACAGTGAACTGAGAAAGATGGTAGATTATGCCAGCAGGTATTTTGATGCTTTCTGGTGGGATTTTTTTACAGATCTGTGAAAGGGATTGCAGTTATACTGAAGTCTGTGTAAGCCATAGCCACTTCCTGACCATGTCACAGAGACGGACTATCTGATGAACAAAATCAACTTGCACTGTTAATCATGTTAGAATGCTGACTCTTTTCTGCATACTGTGTTCTTACAGAAAATCATTACAATGTAATGTGTGTTTCAATTGTAGGGGGATGCTGGTGAGAATGGACTGAAGGGTGACACAGGAGAAAAGGTAACAGCACTTCTTAGCAGAGAAGAAAATGTGTACCTTAGGCATGCTTATAATATAACCAAATAATGGAAATAGTAATTTTTTCAAAAGAAAAATGCATTTTGAGATGGTTTTTTTTAAAGGTGAGTGATTTGGTTAAATTCCTTTTTATGAACAGCAGAAAAATTTTCACTATTCTGTCAAACTGAGCATAAGATTTCTTACTTTATACAGCAGTAGCCCTAGTACATAATATATCAGCATGGTTCTAGCTAGCACTCCTCTGTTGAAGTTTGCATCATACAGAAGCTTTGGTCACAACCTGCAGGTTGGAGTTGCCCCTTTGAATTACAGCAATGTTCTCTAATATACCCTTTATCTTCTCCCCTTCTTTATTTCCATCAAAGAGTGGGACCAAACCAATATGGGACAAAAACTATGGTATTGTGATAGGCAACTTCCCTCCCAAATTGGCAGCTGGAAAATCAAGATTTGATGATAAACATACTTTACATCTTTATTCCAACTGAAATCAACAATAACCTCGCTTAATAACTTCTTAGTTCATTGTTGCAGAGTATGAAGGTGTTATAGAAATCACCAAAAAACAGATTTTGTCAAAATTTTTGTTTTCCTGAGTTTTTTTCTATGTGAGACTCGCACTCAGAAAATCGAACTGGAATTTTCAGTGTGGTTTCCTTACAAAAGCCAGTCTTTAGCCAGCAGGGTAAAGGCTGTGTTGCACATGAGAAAAGTTCAGGCATATTGATCTCTTCTGGCCATCATTTTTGAACTGATATGCTTCTAAAAAACATTTATTGTAATGACTAGGCTTGGGCAGACACATAAACACTTCTTCTTGTACTCCTGCATGTGTGATGCTTAACCAACTTACAGCATTTCAGTTCAAGGAGAAATTTAGGATGGATTTATCAGGCTGGTAAGGAGTGCATGCAAATCCCTCAGGAGGTATCATTTGGGTACAGTAAATCTGAACTTTGAAGAGCACAAGGATTTTAAGACATATTCTAAAATCAGCCATTAAAAATAGACTTTAGATTTAAGAACAGACAAGTTACATGATTTTTAGAGTTAATTTAAATAATAATTTGTCTGCAGTCATGCTTATTAATAGAGATGAAAGTCTTAAGAACCTTATTTACTTTGTTACGTGATGTATGCTGGTAACATAATCTTGATCCACTCTTACATGATTTAAGAATATAATTGGCTACAAGTATAAATTGAGATTATGGTTCAGATAGATAGCTTTACAACAAGTAAATGGTAAGGTTATAATCTCTCTGGGAAGCCTAGTGCAGTTTCACCTGTTGCTTTTCTGCATCATTAGCCTTGAGGGTGAGCTTGCATGCACAAGGATGCCCATATTGCCCTGTGATCAGCAGTGTGCTCATCCCTCCATTTGGGATCATTTTGAGCAAAGAAAAAAGTTCTCTTCTTTCAGTGGGAGATCCTTTCTGTCAAGTATAAAGTTTTAAATACTGCTGTGTGAACTCTCAGCAGTTAGGCAGTCGAGTTGGGATCAACTTGTGGAAAGTAGAGGTTCTCAGGAGACTTCTTATATTGCTGTATCTGAAGAAATTTCAAGATACCTCCTCAACTTCTTAATGCAGAAGTCTCCCATTTCTTCTGGGTTTCATATTATTTTCAGAAGTGGGATGGTGACATAGGAATATATTCTGTTTGTCTGGCATGCACTACTTTAGCCATAATGGGTTAGAGTCCTCTGCATTCATTTTTGCCAGATTTTCCAGAGCTGCGACTTCATTGAGTTTCAATATTTTTCTTCTTTTCCCTGCCTACAAGACAACTTGCCACCCAGAAAAAGAGAGTTCTTAGAGTAGAGCTGCAGCTTAAAGTTTCTTATAGGTATCTTTGCAAACAGCACTTCCTAGAGAGCTTATGAGGGTGGTTTTTGACAGATAATTCAGGAGTAAGCATTAAACTTGGTGTCATTACTTTACACTTGAGCAACTTAACAGGGTTTGTATTCTTTCCTAATCTTCAGCATAGATGGAAGTTTTTGCTTAGGAGTTTTAATCCATAAAACTTAAATGCGTTTCTTTGAAAGCTTGAGTAGAGTTTCTGTGAGAGAAAAAATAATTTTTTATTCATGTGGTGGGAGAGTGAGATACCACATGACAACAGATCCAGACTTGGTTTAGGAGCAGGTTCCTGTTTGTGCAAAAATATGTAGCTTTGTTTACTGAACTGTTGTACCTAGTGACACTCAAAAATAAGGACTCAGGTCCTTAATTCTTGACCTGAGACTTTAGAATTAAAATGTTGAATTGTTGAAGACAGTGTCAATGCCAAGCTTGAGTTCTTGCTTCTGTTATTCCACTGTAGCCTTGGTCCCTAGAAAAAACCAAGGATCTTCCTTCTTTGTACATGTTCTCCTGCTAAAGTTTCTTCATTTGCAAACTGTCTTGACTCAGCAATGAATTGTGAACATACTGTACCATAATTTTTTCTTTGATCTAACTTTTATTCTTGCATGAAGGTGGATTATAAATATTTTGTGTCTTATCTTCTCCATATCCATCATTGCCCTTTGAAATATTTAACCATTTAATGTGTCTTAATAGTTGATTTGGCCATTTATAGCTATAAAAGGCTTGAGGCTTTTAGTTGCACATGCTTGTAAGGGATATTAGCAGTGTCACTCATGCATATCTATTAAAATGAGGCAGCTCAGGTTTCTGTGCATGTATCAATATCATAGTACTGATTTTTGTGTTTTCTTCATTCAAGAGGAACCTGTAGTTACTGTGTATTCCTATTCTTCAGAGGCCAGTGAGCATCTTAACAGTACTATTTAAATTTATAAGACCGTACCAGAAAGATGCCATGTCCAAACCAGCTATGGCATTCACAGAAATATCGGGAATGGGTATTTGTGTTTTGTACAAAGAATATTAAACCTTTATACCCTGCTTATATATCTCTGCTTCTGTCTTACCTATGTAAATCACTGGCAGGCTGCTCAGAGCTCTCAGAGCTTGAAGTTGCTGCTATGTAAAACTTGCTGCTTTCAGTGAACAATGTACATTTATTCTGCATAATGAATAATGAAACAGTTTTTCAAATAGAAGCACACTAGTCATTTTCAGTAGTATATAGCCTAACTAGCAAACTTTTCAGTAGGTTTTTTTTTCTTTTTTCCTTGGCATATTGTTCAAGAAAAAAAAAAACAACTGATCCTCTGTCCTGTGCATATCAGTGCCTATGAAATTCAGTCAGCCCAGCAAAATATAGGCAAATCTTTTTGAGTGCTAGATGTCCGCTCAGAACAGACACCTTTCCTGAATATGTAAATTACCACAGCTGTCTCATCATGTAAAGTATAGTCCTTCATGCATTAATTTATCCATTTAAATACCCTGGAGTGTTGAGGAAATAAAACTATGACCTGTCCTGATGGAGATAAACTCATAGGTCAATGGGTTTTTTTTTCAATGTGAATCTTCATTAGCACAAAAAATGTTGTTAGTTGAGTCTTGACACTGGCCATCTATAAAATAGGTCAAATGGTCGCTCATATTCTTTGTAAATAACAGTGAATTATTTTTAATGTAGGTCAGCAATTTAGAGATGTCAAAGTATGTCCCGTATTCTGGCTGTGTGAAGTACATTTGAACAACATCTGCAATTATTAGATCTACATTATTAGTTGTGAAATTTGAAGTTAACTATAATAGGTGTTTGGGTGAGTGAAGCTAAATATCTCTCTACGTGGTCTTGAAAACAACACTGCTCCTTTTCTGATGTAATCAAACTGATGTAATTAATTAGTTAAATGCCTATGTAGTAGCACAGAAAACAGACAGTCTTACTATGCAGTTATTTTGCTCTATAATGTTGCTGTACTCTTACATGATTTATGTGTTTCCTGGAAAATAGTATATGTAGTAAGAGTGATTATTTCTTGTGGATTTTGTATCAGGGTGACCCTGGCTCTTCTGCGGCTGGAATTAAGGTAATGGAGTTCTAAAAAAGTTGTGCAGGGAGAAGAGGGGTGGTTGGTCCATGTTACTTCCCAGTGTCAAAGACATTTTGGGTATCATTAATGTTACAGTTTTCCACAGCTCCATCTTTAACTCATTTCTCAGATCTCATGTCTTTCATCTGTTTTCTTTTAGGGTGAACCCGGTGAATCTGGGCGGCCTGGACAAAAGGTATTGCTTGGAAATGTTCAATTTTCCTTCTCTGCTGGATTTGGGATAAATGATTTTACATCTGTGTTACCAGTGCACCTACCTGGGTTGAGTCTCAGGCAGTATGATTTAGCAGCCCAAGGCTGTACACATTTGGTCTATGTTTATTTTGTATTTTAGAAAGGCACAGGAATGATGATACTAATTAACATGAAGAGCAATTTTGACTAACCCACCTTCCCTTCTAGCCCCAGCATACTTCTTGCATTGAAAGCTTACCCCTTTGCAGCTAGTGAGACTAACAAAGAATGGTTCTGCTCCTTGGGTCATCACAAGCTAACCCTGCATGTCTGACTAATAATCTTCAAACTGTGGTACACTGGTAGATCTCATCAGGAAGGAAATAAATATTGGTTAGAATCCCTTTCACATACACCTGTGAGGGAAATCAAACTATCAGTGGCACACAGTGTGTTTGGAAAGACACAGACCAGGTAATGCTGCTCTGTTCTTCCTTCCAGTGTAAGAAATTCCCCTGGGTGCTGTGTGGCTGAGGCTGCTTCTGCAAGGACAGGTCCTGCAGGAGTTACAATAGCTGTACTGCACGAGGCCCTGTGAAGCTGGGGAATGTGCTCTGTGAATGCACAGTACATCAAACACAGCAAATGCTGTGCCTTCAGCTGCCTTTCCTGAGACTAGGGGGCAGGTCCTGCAGGGAGAGCAAAGAGACAATAAGAGCTGGATTTGTGCATTGCAACATTTGGTTTCCCTCTGGAGCCATTGGCACTGTTCTTGCCTCTTAAAACATTGAAAATTTTCCACTGCACACTGCTGCCAGTGTCGAACAGAATCTTTCCGCCAGTTGAGATATTCCAGACAGATAGTCAAGAGCTAAAATTCTATATTGTGGATGGAAAGACAACCATTTTCTAATATTCAAGATACTTTGGTGACTAAGCAAAACCCCAAGCCACATATAAATAAGAAATAAATAAGAAATTAGGTATTTTTATTTAAGAAATTATAACTCTCATCAGAGACTAAATAAGACTATTATGGTTGAAAATGCAGTTCCTTAGTAAAGTGCAGTTTTAATTAGGAAAGGTAATCAAAGTCGTGTAAAGCTACCTAATCCACAGAATCATTCAGTGTGTGCATTCTGCAGCGTGTGCTTTGCTTGGCTAATAAACTAGAAAATGCACTTAAGTGCCTGTGGAGATTCAGACTCTCATTAAGTGGCTGCCATGAAGCAAAACTAGCAGTGATTTATCAGCAGGCTCCTGGTTCTTAATCTCAGGCACTCAGATTTGATCTAATTCAAGCAACATGGATGAGTGAGAGGTATGCAGTTCAGACTTTCTATATTCTCACCTTCTTTTATAGACACCAGAGGGGGGCTTAGTGTCTTCCTTCCATTCACCCCATGATTTCCTAGCGTGTCACAGCTCCTGTCCCAGCCCCAACCATCAGCTCCCATAACATGCCCAGTCAGTGTGCCTCCTCCAGCCAGGTGCCCCATGTCTGCTGCACTGCACCCCTGCTCAGCAGGGATTTTTCACACCACCAGAGGTTGTGGGAGGCTCTTTTTCCAGTTGGAGGCATGCCTCTGCCATCTACATCATCTCAATGCTGTTCTCCCTCTCTGTGTTCCATTCATATTTCCTGCCTCTGTCTTCTTTTCTTTCTTATATTTTCCCTTTTATCTTCTTCTAGTTGTCCCTTATCCATCTTCTAAGGACAAATATGTGTTGAGCTGCCCACCCAGACACTATTTGCATGAAATGAAATGTGACAATATTTCAGCAGTCTGACAAGGCTGTTTGGGCCGCGTTGTGTGCTGAGGTGACAGAATGACCTGCTCTGCCATTATGTAATAGAGTTCATATACAGCCTTGGTTTCTTTAAAAGTCATTCTTCTCATAAATCATGCTCAGAATTTTTATATTAGGAAAGGTCCAAAAAAGTAAATACTCTGCATTCATCTATAATGCTAGCTGTAATTAAGAAATAGTGATTGATTTCATTGTTTTTCACATTGATGCATCTTTTAGGGGCATTTTAATTGTTTTAGATTACTGTGGCTCTGAACTGGCTTTGGTGGATCCTTTCTGCTTATTATGTGTGAGTGTATGGGGGTTAACTCTGTCCCAAGAGTAAAGAGTAACCTACTGCAGCAACACTAATATAATATAAATTATAAATATTCCAGTTCTGTGCTTGCAAGTGAAATTTAGTGCTTCCACAATTAGGTGGGTAAAGTTGATGGGTCATAGTGCTGTATGTATAGCTGCTCATGCAAAAAGTGGAAAGGCAGAGTAGGGGTTTGGAGTTAAAATTTTGTTAGTGCAGTGGAGCATTATTCTTTTGCAAGAGTAATAACCCATTTTCTGCTTTAGAAAGTGATAGTCACCATTCCAAAAAGTGTCTATTGAAAATGGCTTCCTAGCCTTTATTCTTTCATCTGATTTGATTGTTACTACTTTGAGACTGGAATCTTTCCTGTGCTTTTAGGCAATTTGAACAGTTAGAACTTTGGAGAAACTAAAACAGATGAAGAAGCTTTTATCAGATCCTTCTATATCACTTAAAAATCGTTCCATTTGGTGAAGTGATTTGCAGCCCTTCTATTGTGTTTTTCATTTTGTCCAGAGTGGTGTAATTTTGTTTTGAGTGTTCAAAGTCTGTGTAATATCTCTGCCTCAAAGAAGTGTCTGTGGGTAGTGCAGTTGGATGGACACCTGCATTATGTGTAGGTGTGTTTGTATTTTTGTGTGTATACACGAGTGTGTGGGGGTGTATGGGTGTGTGTAGGCCTGGGTGTACACAGGCACACAAAATATTTTAATAGCACAACCTGTAGGTATCAGCCCAAACCACAGAGTTGAAGTCTGGATTTCTGTAAAGCTCATGAGTGTAAAAAAATCTGGAATATAGTTCAGTTCATTATAAAGGTAAAAGTTGGCTTCAGAGTTCAAACCTGAGCTTCCAGAAAGTTCAGGGAATATTCAGATCCAAGGTGCTGGTTAGAATCCATCTCTGTGTTAAAATAAAATCCCCAGCTTTTAAAATAATGTTTTATTCACATGTTATTGCTTTTTTTTTTCTGTTCACCATCTTTATTTCCCTAGACAACATCTTTTCATTTAGCTGATACCTCAAAATGACCATTTGTGACAATATTGTCATTCTTGTTTTAGACTATTTCCAAAGTTAATGCATTCAGTTTTCAATGCTTGTTACAAAATTACCTTGCAAATAGAGTTCTATAGGTCTTTCCATTGCAATTTTAAATAAGCAAGGTTTTTCTGGGTAAAGCAGTAAAAGGTTACATTCCCACTATCCTTCATGACACTGTGTATGTTCACAGATAAAGAACAAGCTCTGAAATGATGCCAAGGATAGCTCTATAAAACTGATGGCCCAGTTATAATTAGGCAGTCCTGCTTGAATTGTGCAATTTAAACCATGCTCTTATGAATGGCTTTGTAGGTAAATCAGAGAGTCACACAGCACAGTATCTAGCTCAGAGCTGAAAATGGAACAGAATTAGACATCTGTCAAAAGTATGGAACTTAAATGGCAGTAAAATGAACCAGTGCTGCTTGTTTTCTTCTCTTTTGCTGAAGTCTAATGTGAATTCATATTTGGCTTTCCTGACATGGATTTTCAGCCCTGTGTGTCATCTTCACATTGAAGGTTCCCAGAAGATATCTGAGTCCTTAACATGACTCTTACTAATTGTACATTTAAGTCACTCATTTTGAAAAAAACAATCTTGCTGGAGCTGACTAGCAATCATTCATGCTCTTTTATCTTCCTGCAGAATTTACAGGGCTGTTCAATGGATAGTGATCCTAACTGAATAATGTCTGTAATGTTATGTAATTTTCCTATGTAGGGTGAACCAGGCCTTCCTGGGCTTCCTGGACTCCCTGGAATAAAGGTAAATACTGTAGTACCTCTTGTACTGGGTGGGAATACCACAAAGAGGGGGGGGAGTGCAAGAATGTGGCACAAATGGACTTACTGTATTGTGTTATATCCTTTTCTGTGTCTCTGGTATTAAACTGGGGTTTTTTACAGCAAGTTCTCACATGAAAAATTGGTTAAGTGTCTATGAGTAGGCAAACAGTATATCTTACATTAAAATGTGAGGCAGAACATTCTAGTTATTTCTTTTAAACAATAATAGGAGAGGTTTGGTTTTTTTTTCCTTTAATGGAAAAGGAAAAAAATCATCATCAAAGTTTTAGTTGGTTTCCACTTCTGTGTGTGCTTTCCAGTAGCAATATTCTCCTGAATTAACCAAACCTCCAGCCAGAGAACTACATTAATTATACACAGGCAGAGCAGACCTGGCTCTATTGACAAAAATACTCTGTGCTCCATTACACAGGCACTGACAAGTCTAAATGTTTTAATAATACTCTGTTCAGTATTACCTACAGTCCCTGACACAATACCTGGTTTAGTCCCTGGCTTCCAGTTTGTCTGGAGTCTTTAGGTAAGTTGATACAAAAGACACATAGCTGGTTTAGTTTTAGCATAAGTGGTTGCCTTAGGATCTGCAGACACTTACTCAGTTTGAGGTGTAACTGTGTAATTCTGCACAGAGTGAGCAGATTCACATATCCTGAGTGAGTGCAGATCAGAATGGCCACTTTTCCTTTGTGTCAAAGACTGTCCTTCCAGAAAACAAAATCTCTTGGAAACCTTTTCTTTGCATTCCAGCACAGCCCTGTGTATGTCTCAGGGAGAAAGTTTATAGGATTTCCCCCTAACAAGGAGGATAATTCAGAGGCCAAACTCTTGTCCATTGTGGTAGGATTCAGGATTTATCTCATGGAATGTAACATTTGCAGTGATTTTCTCAAGGGACCTGTGAATTGCCACAGTATTGAAGCATAATGTCCTTTCTGTGTTACTAGTGAACTATGGGAAAAAATTGAATGTGCATATTAAATTTTGTGTGTTGTAGCAGCTTAAAATATAGTTCCTGGGGAGGTTGTTCATTTTCTGCAGAACAAACTCTGTACTGAGTAGTGAAGATCATGCAGGAGAAGTCTTGTGTGATTGAACTATTTTTATTAGGGCTTTGGCAGCAATCCCTATTCTGTTTACTTTAACAGTGAGCAAAGAGGTAGCTCAGATGGAGGTCAGTGGGGCACTTGCCTGAGGCACTCATCCCAGGGACACCTGCCAAAAGCAACTGGAGCTGTGGCTGGGCCTTGGGGTTCCCATGTTCATGCAGACCACATGTCCATGCATATAACCAGTAAATAAAAAAAATCTACATCTGAGTGGCTGCTCTGGGAAAATTATTTGTTGGCAGTAAGAACGGCTCAGAAGTGCAGCTTCCAGAATCACCTGAAAGATAAAATGTGAAGTGAAAAACGAATGAAGTGTGGGAGTTTTGCCCAGTGAAAATTTGTTTCCAAATTCAGTGGATACAGTGGAAAAACAGTACAGTTGCCTGCAGAGGAAAATGGAATAATTTGGTCAAATATTAATCATTTAGGAAAATACTTTCTCCTGTTTAACATCCAGTCCAGAGGGAGACTGGTGGTGTTTCAATGAAGAAATTCAATCCAGTGCAATTCTGCATTGTCCTGAAACCTGGATGGTGACAAGGAAGCAGGATGTGCACAGGAGAGAGCAAAGCATATCTGGTCACATCAGACTTGCAGGATGGTGGCTGTTCATTTCAAGGCATTTGTAAGCTCTCTTTTATTAAGCAATCTGTAGTAAAAAAAAAACCCTAGATTCTTCTGAGTGCCTGAGACTATGTCTGTGACATGAGAAGTGGTAGCAGAATGGCTGGAGTTATGAATATGGGCACTCATCAGCAAAGGTAAAGTAGGAGTTTCCCCCCTTTTCTCACCCTCCCTTTTAGCAAAGATTTATGCACCACCATGGTAAGATCATTACGTGGATTTCCAAAAACAACAACATTGTTATCTCATGGAGAAGCAAATTTCCAGTGATCTGGTGTTGATCAAAAGCTACTTTGAAATAGCAGTGACAGGATGAGAAACTTGAGCACGGAGGAAACTCAATTGTCTGGACTTGGAATCAGTTGGTGCTGTCATCTTGTACAAAACCAAGAGGAATCTTCCTTGAAGCAGTGGCTTCTTTGTTCCTTTTGGTTTTTTTGGGTTTTTTGCTTCCTTCTGGAATGATGCTTATTGTTTGTACAATTCTTTTCTGGGATTTTGGGTTCTGTTCTCATGTGGACTTTATAAAACTAAGTGATACGCAGTAGTAGTATAACATCAAAGACCTAGCAGAAACCTCTCACAGTGTCATTGCAACATCTAAGAACTTGTAACAAAATTTAAGTTTCCATAAGGAAAATTTTTCCTAACAAACAGATTAGTGTTCTAAATGCACTCTCATTCTCATGCATTTGCATGCCAGCCCAGTAGCTGTTGGCAGAGATTTTTCAGGCTTTTTCCAAACTTTGTGAGAGGTAAGAAAATTATCAAGATACAGATTTATTGTACACATTGAAAATTCCTGTATGTAATTCTTAAATATTAAATATTGTCTTGTTTTCCTTAAATCTGTTAGTTGAACTTAAAATTGCTTCCTTGTGCATGTTTCTCTACAGTGGCAGGCTGTGTTATGAAATGTTTTAGGTAATTGTGCACATGCACAGCACTCTTCACAAAAGCTAAACCAACCTGTGCTAACACAAGTGCTGTGCCAGGCAGTCTGTCCAGCTACAACTCATCTTTCTTCCCATGGTTGAACAAGCTTCCCAAGACATTCAGTCCTCTGTATTTCAGCATACATAAAGGATTAGGGAACACTAATCACCAAGAAACTTTCAGCTTCTTATAATGCCATTTCAGTTAATTAATCAAGGTTCCTGGGAGCCTGTAAGGACTTGGCTGAATGTGTACTGCAGTCTGAATGAGTGGCAACATTGGACAGACATGCAAGTATCACATCTGAATTCAGGGTATACAGCAGGGTCTTTTATTAGTTACTTTTCTAGACCCATTCACCAGGCACACACGGATGTTTTGGGAGTATTTCCTGCTCCTTTTCGTTCTCTCCTCCTTTGTCAGTTGGTGCCACGGAGGGAACACAAGTGCAGTCAGTTATTTCCAAGACAGTGTAGAGGCTGTCTATGACATGCTGGAGAAACGTTTCTCAAGCACCTGTTGCTGTTTAGGAATGGCTGGAAACTTAATGAGCCCTGAATGTGTTCCACCTAAACTCAGAATATTAACTCATCACTCTACTATCCCCCAACTGATGCCAAACAGACAAAGAAGCCTGTCTGTGAAACACAAACTTCATGTATCTGTTTTACCTCATAACTTCTGCAGGAAGATACTTACAAAGCAGCACTTGCTTACTGTGATGGAAATCATGCATGCTCTCATTCACTGTAATGTCAGACCTCTGAAATCTGTTGCACTGCATTTTCTGGAATTGGGCCTGTACAGTCCTCAATTTCTTCACCGCAGTGAGAAGCCTTCTCAAAACACAAGCCTCTTCTCAGTAACAGCACCTCTTGCAGGATCTAGATTTTCTATGGTATTTCTGGCATTTGTCCCTCAGATGTTAAAGCAAATGCTGAACCGAAGCTTACGAGCACATATAATTTTTTTTTTTTTTTGTTGTGTTGAAGAAAACTGAACCTTTGAGTGGTTTGACATGAGAAGAGAAAAGAGAAAGGCTGCTTAGCCCTTCTGCTTTTGGGAAGTATGGAAAGCTTTCTGTGTTTTGAAATTCAGTGGAAGTGGCTGATTCAATAGACTTGCCAGCATGCGGTGTCTTGCATCTTTCTGTACAATTATTTTGGATTGACTTTCCTGGGACTGTGCCTGAGCAAGGTTTCAGAAAAACCTGGATAAAGATGTGGGAATTTCAATCAATTTTGTATCCTTTTATTTTTCTTTTTATGAATGCAAAAGTGGTTCTAATTTTTTCTGTGTCTAAATTTCTTATTTATCTATACCTAGATCTATACTCAGAGATCTTATCCTCTAAAGACTAAACAACTCTCTGCTCCACAGAATGTATTTTTTTAAGGTCTAAAAGACTTGATACTACTTTCACCCAGTTAGTTCTCTTAGAAAAGAGAAATTTTGGAGGAAATGAGAGAGAATTTTCCAGCTGGCTGCATAGAAGTTAGTCTCCTATTTAAACTCTTGTAGAAAAGAGAGCAACTGTTGCTGAAGCTTATGTGTTTAAGTGCTGCTCTTACCAGCTGGCAGCAAAATGAAAGGAAATGTGAAGTGAATGGTAGTTCTAAGCATTTTGGTTTGGAGTCAATGCCCTTTACTGCCTACAGGAAAGTTTGGTAAATTCTCCTTTTTCCCCAGAAGTTCTTAGGAAAGATTTTCTTTTTCTAATTTTCCTAATTAATTTTTCCTTTTCTGTATTTCCACTCTTCTTCCTGTTTTTATTCATTGATAGCGTGAACAGTAAACCTGCAGGGACTCTCTGTCTCTCTGCTTCTCTCTCTCTCTCTCTCTCTCTCTCTCTCTTCCCCTCTCTGCAGGTTCTGGGTGTAAATGGGAACTGATCTAAAAAATAGGACTTAGTACCCACCTTTGGTGGGCTGGGTTTCAGAAGTGTCTCTGTGCATTGGTAGGTGAAATACATTACACAACTGTGCAATTGAGTATTCGCTTTCCATAACGGTAGTAGGTATACAAACATATATCTGTATATTACACTTTCTTCATTGATTCCTGGCTGTCTGCTTTCCATATATTATGGCAGTAAGCAGTTGCATAGGGTGGACATTGAATTTCCAGGAACTGATTTTGATGATCAAGGCCAGAAAACGAAATCATCGTTAACATTGGATGGCATGCATGTGTCAGGGGTGCTTACTTGGGTGTAAAATCTAGATAAATTCTTCAAGTTCTTATTGATTTCTCACAAATTATATCCTCCAAATCTCTTATTTTCTGTTCTGGA